GATGACCCTGAGGGCCGCGGATATTCACGGTAAATAGGCCATTGATTGGCGATGAAGAAATATCAGCGAATCTGTAGGTAAGGACACCTACGGTGGATTAGTGGGTTGTTAGAAAAGTCAACGTGTGGTGGCATTGAAGATGTTCAAGTAGCGAAGGCAACGGTGCGTTGCGAAGATTGGGAGTTGTGAAGATGGTGGGAGAGGGATGAGAAGGAACAGGAAGTGAATCTGTGTCCATGAAGGTTTAGTCTCTGAATATATTCTGAATGGCCTTCAAGTGTTTTGAATCAAGATGTATGGGAAAACATATTGGAGATAGGAGGAGGAGGGTGAGTAAGATTGGGACAGTAAAATGCGACTGTACCAAAGTAGAGGGGAGGGAAAAGTGTAAGGGACTGGGATGAAGGTGTGGGGGGGACAGAAAGAGGTAGAAACCTGGGAGGTGACAGAAGTGGGAAGAAAGTAAACTTGGGTGGGGACGGGGGTGGAAGTCATAGTACGAGGAGGAGGGTGATTCCACACTTGTAATTAGGAGGCCAGATGAGAGAGGATCGAAACTAGCGTACAGAGGATGGAAAGGTAAGTGGGAGGGGTGGTAGAGGGAAGGATGGAGGCAAGAAGATTTTGAGCAATGTGGATTTTTGGACTTCTGAGTAGAGGGTGCGATGGTATTAGGTGTCGTACGAGGTCTTGTCGTTCTGGGGGCTTGTGAGGAAGGACGCGAAAGATGTGAGACAGACTGTAGTTGTAGTCGGGACGTCAGAGCCAAGGACAGCAACAGGATTATAGATGCCGTATTGGCTATGGGAGGGGTAACAACAGTAGGAGGCTGCAGAAGATGGGTACCCCAGAAGTGGGGGGGTATGTTGGAAGCACGAGAATTAAGAAACACGGGGTTAGTCTCCCTTGGGAGGCGGAGATGAGTAACTGCATAGCATAAGGGGGACCTTTGCCTCTTTGAGGCATAAGGATTTCACGTGTCATGTAAGTAGACCTGGCAAAGGCGGAGTACGAAGGGTTATGAGCTTACATTACAATTAAGGCAAGATGGAGGTTGACCTGCAAGATGTATTAGATTGGTTCTGTCCGCACCACAGGGACTGGGCATTCGGCCATAGATTGAATATTTCGCTGGGTGACCACAAAAACGCCAGCAAATTTTCTAATTGTTGCGGTTGTAGAGTATCACCATTGTCGAAATTGTAACGTTGTTCCCGCTACATATACAGAGGACGGGAGTTCTCGGACTGTCAAAAGTTAACAGTGCAAATTGCAAGGGTAACGTCTCCGCCCCGGGCGGGAGGACATAGGGTCTACTTGAGGATTGGAGATCCTGGAGTTCCAGCTGCTTCATAATTGTCTAGGCCCATGTCTGGAAATTTTGTTGGACTATGTATGGGGCAGAATGACAGTACAACTACATGAATTGAGTGAAAGATGTTTTTTCAATAGTGATAGGAGTAGTATCGATATTCGAAAGGGAGAAAGTTCATGAGCTTGGGTAGCATTCGGGACAGTGGACGATTGCGGTACCGCTCTTGAGAGAGTTGAATGAAATGAACTTATCTCTGCCAAACATTGACGCTGCGAGCGCTTTGGCAATTCTATGGTCAGAAAAGGTAGGCAAGAAGAAGAAGTTGGTCTTAAAGTAAATGATAATTTAGTCCATTGTGTGGTCCGAAACTGAGCGTGGAGAGGGTAGTGCTTGGACGTGTCGGTCCGTTTCAGAGTTGAATGGGAAGGTTATCGTCGGTGCATCATCAGGAGCTTGGACGTTGGCGTTTAGGAGTAGGACCGGAGTTGTGCACGGCATGAAATGGGTGGGCGATTCGAATAATTGCCATACCGTAGAGGGGAGAAGCCGGAAGCATAGTACAAAAGGAAAGAGAGCGGAGTTCAGACTCAAATCGAAGGAGTCAGTCGTAGCCCCGGGTACCTGAAGCGGGTGAGGAAACAGCTCCAGAAGGAAGTACAGGGCATCAGGAGTGTTCCGAAGAGTGGTCTAATCACAAGGCAGGGTCTGAATGGGGGGGCGGTTTCAAGAAGGGGCCCGGGGTAGTGGTTTTATGGACTGGGCTGCCATGGTAGGTTTTCTCCTTTGCTTGTTGTTTTATGAAAAAAGAAAGAAGAAAGAAAATAATATACAAAAAAAAAGAAATGAAAAAAAGGGGGGTGCGAGGGGTGGCATAGTTCCCCTGGGTGGAATGCAAGGGCCGGAAAATTTCTCCCTGCAGCGCCCAAGAGGACTTCGAACGCTAGTAGCGCAGATGGCAGCATGGAACCCGTGGCCATACCTTACCCTTCATGCCAGAAATCCAGCAATCCGGGGATAGCAACCTCACATCTGCGAGCTACCTCGGTGGACAAAAGAGAGGGCGGCCCCGGATATCCGCAACAAAGCATTACTCCTATCAGCCACCCACCCCGGAATCCGATTAAGGTGGCTTCAGAGATAAAAGTAGCCCAATAGACACCCAAAGCTTCGCGGGGATACCGTAATGCCCCCCCCCCCCCCCCCCCCCCCCCCCCCCCCCCCCCCCCCCCCCCGGAGACGTGAGGTCGAGGAATTCCCTAGGCAATCCAGGATTCACGGCCAATCGACACACGCCAAGAAACCTTCAACGGATATGGGATCGACCCCGGTGTCCTTTCACCCTACCTAGGGAAACCTAGTGCACGCCTGTAGGGAGAAATCACGAAGGCTAAAAACGAGGATAGGGCAAAAAGGGAGGGTTGAGGAGGAGGAGGAGGAATGGAAAAAGGGAGGATGGGATGGGAGGGGAGAGAGAATGGGGGGTAATTAGGTTCGTCTGAGGAAGAAGACGTCAGGGCTAATTTCTCAGACCAAAGGCCTCTTCACCACGCAAGGTGCCACCCCTTGAACGAGGAGAAATTGATACAGGTTTGTAAGTTTACTTTCATATAATCTTTCCAAATGTCACGTGGGTCTTATTCACTACATTTCTCTATGACAGGTCAAAACTGAAGTAATGAGGGTGCTGTCTAACTCTACCAGTGGCTCAAAGATACACTCAGGACTTAAAAATTTACGCCATGATTGGAGGCCAAACTTACACAGATTGAAGATGGGATGAGGGATCTTTTCTCAACCTCATAGTGTATGTCATGAATGTGAGTAAATTAGTAGATAAAAAAAAAATTGCTATTAGGACTGGAAGCTATTGAATAAAGGTCGTTATGTTCAATTGTCATCCTTTCTATGGTCTCCTTGATGCGGGTGAGCGGGATCCGGATCAAGGATTTGTGTGTGTCTCTCCTTCCAATGATTGAAACCCGATTGCGTCGTGTTTAACCAGGCACGTACAACTTTATGGGTTTAGCGCTTCTCCCCCTAAATAAAATAATTATAACTACTAAGATTTCATACTGTATTGAATTTAATTGCATTTTCTAAGTTCTAAGTAAATTTTCTATACAGATTTTTGGGATATATAATGGGAAAGTAGAAATCCCTATTAACTCTACAGACTAGCAGCAAGGTGTATAAGTCTCATCTGGTGTTAGGTTCTCTTTCCAATGCAGTCTTCAGTGAGACTGCAGACTGAGGACAGGGGACACATCTATTCCATCCATAAACACTTGCATGGAGTCCCGTGGCTTGCAATGTGCCATTGACTAACCATATTCTAATAACAAACCTTTGGCTCAGACCTTAATGGTTTAGACAGGTTTTTTATAATTACAAGGGTGTTTGTATATGCCTCAAATAACATTTCAGTTGAAAATTTAAATGTGGTTTATCTTTTGGTGTTATTAAGTGATACTACTCTTAACCTCTAGAGAAACTTTCGTTTTTCTTTTTGGGCCACCCTACCTTGGTAGGATATGGCCGGTTTGTTGAGAGAAGAAGAAGAAGGAAAAGAATGATTTTATTTGTATTGTGGGTTTAGTGTCTGAGACTGCTGTATATGATAATCAGTTGCAATTTTTTATCATATGGAGCATTAAAGGCTTTCGGTTATAGCACTTGGTAAATTCCACAACTCTTCCTCACTTTCCTTGTACAGTATGACTGTTAACTGACAACACACTTGCTCACCCACATACACTAGAATTATAATATAGTACTACTATATAGTCACACCTGTTGAACTGAAAACTCAGATTCCTGAAACCATCCCTGTAGCAACATGTATTGTGTTAATTTACCATATACAAACAAGCCTTGATTTAAGCACTCCCTTTATAAGATGTCACATTGAGGTCAAGACAGTGTATTATTCAGTGTTTTATAATTTTTGCAAAAAACTTTTAACATGATCACTTATTTCAAAAATTTTAAGAAACTCTATGACATATTTCAATAAAGGCTTGATATGAATCGTCCTAACCTATATTTGATGATAATTAAATGTATTATTCAGTGTAGTAATATCTTTTGTAAAAGGCAGAATGTTTAATATGCTTATGGTCTTTTATAGAATCAACCCATTTTTGAAAGAGGCTAACCTATACTGACAGAAATTTTCACATTCAATAAGCCATATGTAACAGCAGATGATGCTGTGGCTTAACACTTCCTGTGTTTATAGTGTCTGTCATGTTTTGCTGACATGCAAAGAGGGAGAGATGATTGGTAGTGTTAGTGTAAGAAAAGATTTTATTAGTGACCCAGACAGTTACCATTCACTTGCTGAAATGTCTTCCCTACTTAGTCCTATGTAACATCAGTATTTGCCACTTGGATGCAGTAAGCTTTTACTCCCACCAATCATCTGCCTTAATGCTCATCATTCACTTACATAAGAGAAGTTAACTTTTAGTAGTAAAAATTACAGAGCAAGAATGTGAAAGTGGCACATACTAAGCGCAGAGGCTTCAACGCTCATTAAGCATGTGTAAAATTGGAATGGCAGAGAGTGGTCTTTGGGATTTGATGAGCTGAAACAGTGTGAGCACACTAATACTGCATTTTATGAAGGGAATCAGGAAAACCAGTTAACCAGGATGGAGTTTAGGTGCAAAGTAGAATACATACCTGCATTTTAAAAGATGGTTTGGGATGTTGCAGTTTAGTGGGCCATCATTGGATCATTGATGTTGGTGCCTTCCTGAAAATGCTGTTTTTTTCTGTATTGCAACATTAGAGAATGTTTAAGCAGTTCATTAACTTTCTTGTGTAGAACATTCCCTTACCTTCATAGTGTTCATTTCTCTCTTTTTCTAAATGCTACTGTATTATACACACTCTTTGCATTATGTATTTTAATTTTCTTGACATCATTTCTAATAAACAAGAAATTACTGTTTATTCTTATGGAATACTTAGTAATTTCTTGTTTATTAATATTTGTTTATATGGTATGTATTTTTAAGTGTTCCAGTACATTTTCTTTTTCTTTATCAAGTTTGTTACATTCATGATGCAGCGACATTCTCATTTCCTTGTTTATTCTGTCGTATGCAATATATTTCATGTAATGTTAGTAGAATTACTGACAATATGTTAGGTAAATGGACACAAGTGCAACTAATGTGACATTTCACTGTGTCAGGCCATTACAAACAATACAAGGACACAGTGGGCAAATATAGGTATTAGAGTGAGCTTGACAAAGCTCCTGTAGAGTGAATCGTTGACACAATACAATGTCGCATTAGTTGCACATGTGTCCTTTTACCTAAAATACATTTTAAGTTGAAATTCACATTATTAAACTCCTGGTGATAGGCATTTCTTTATGGTGCAAAAAATTTATTAATGCTGGTTTGTACTTCAGTTTGGTGCTTTAAATATGTTTGTATGTGAGATTTAATGTACCATATTGTGGAAAGCTTAAAATGGGCATCTATTTTGTTAGGATAAGAGTCTTATTTTGCATAGAGATGTGACCATTCAAAGCATATAATATAGGCATTAGTAACTTGTCAACATAGAGGTATTATCTTCTGGTGTTTGTTTCATGGACTACTATTTTAAGAATTTGAGAAGGGTTATCCAAATATTTCCAGCTAATTTTGTTTCTGTTAGTTCTTCTCAACACTTCTGCATACATTAACATCTGTAAGAATGAATAATTCAAAGAGCAGTCTTGCTATATACTGTGTATTAGATTCAGAATTTTAGAAAAATTGAAAATACCCTACAGTTTATTAATGTTTTTCCTTCCTGTTTTGTCTTTGTACGATGTAGGACCCCATCAAAACCTGTCTGTTTTTCTGTTTTTGACAGAGATACAGTAATACTTTTTGCTCTGATACATACTCTGTCCTAACATATACAGTGGACCCCCGCTTAACGATCACCTCCAAATGCGACCAATTATGTAAGTGTATTTATGTAAGTGCGTTTGTACGTGTATGTTTGGGGGTCTGAAATGGACTAATCTACTTCACAATATTCCTTATGGGAACAAATTCGGTCAGTACTGGCACCTGAACATACTACTGGAATGAAAAAAGTTCGTTAACCGGGGGTCCACTGTACTTGGTACTCTGCTCTGACACACAGTCTGCTGTAACATATTCTTTGATAACATGGACAGTACTCTTTACTCTAACACTCACACACTGCATTGAAACATTTTTTCCTTCCAATCCAGTTCTTCCTCTGCTGTTCTCTAAACTGTCTTTCTAAATCTTCATTATCCTACCAAAAGTTTTCCAATATCCTTTGCTAATTTTACCTTGTTTAGCCATGTCATGTACTGTCCATTGTAACTTGCTTTTATCAGCATACTAAATTGAGTATATATGATAAAAAGTTACATGAACAAGTTGATGGATACTGATTAGTATCTGTTTAAAACTGTTCATTGAATACCTAATGACTGCCTTATATCTTGTAATATAAAATGAAGTGAAGCAATAGTTTTTTGTACATTTTTGACATTGGAAAATTATATTTTTTTATATGACTGCATATATGCACTGATATATGTATTTTGTGTATCTTTGTAGGAACCCAGACAAGTTTTTATGCTGTTGTTTGACCCTTTTAAACTTAGCTAGGTAATTATTCATATACAGTAAACTAGAGAGAAAGATAAATTTTGAAAAAAAAAAAATGTTAGAAAAGAGAAAATAAGAACCAAACCTTTTATTCAAGATTGTAAAAGCAAGGTAAATGTAAACCGTCAAGAATGACGCTCACTGTATGAATTGTCACTTTAGAGGAAAAATGTAAGGTAGTAAATTTGAAGCCACAGGGGACGTGTACAAAAGAAAAGATCATCACTGAATAGGATTTAAAGCTCGCTCACTGAAGCTTTGACATGAGTCAGACATTCGCCTGCTGACAGAGGGAGGCTGCGACTTGACGATGTCGACCTCTTCTCTGATTTCAACTCTGTTGAGAGGATGACATCGTCAAGCTGCAGCCTCCCTCTGTCGGCAGGCAATTGTCTGACTCTTGTCATAGCTTCAGCTTCCCTACAGAAGCTATTATTGGACTTTAATCAAAATAAAAGCTGTAGAACCAGACGAGATATCACCCTAGATTTTGAAGTTCTTTGCAGAGTCATTAAAGTCTTCTCTAGTCAATAAAAAAAAGCAAACTAAATACGTACGTACAAAATAATGTAGGAAGCCTTAGTTGATTATAATATCACTGAACTGGAAAGGGAAATGTGTGAAATGATAAGTTCTGGAGTATTTAAAGAAAAAGGCACTTTAGATGTTGCAGATTTGAACCCCAAAGACCCAGTTGAAATGGACAACAATGAAATATCCAAAGAGGACTTAAAGTAGCTAATGCTAAATGTGCTGACGGACATGTGTGCTTCTTTGTTAATACTGTTCCTGTAGTTTATAATGATGATGATAATAATAATAATATGCTGGTTGGATTTTACTAGAATGTGCAGAAAACTAAGCTATCAACTCTGGAAATATGGAATCAATACATACAGCCCTGTACACTCATCACAGCCCAGAAAGAAATACTGTGAAGGCTGGAGCATACAGCAAGCATGTATGACCATGTTAGATCAGGGTCAGTAGAGAAAAGTTGTTTAAAAGATTTGATGTGCTGTTGGAGTGTGAGGATGGTGACATTTTTAAAGGGATTCCGGGAAACTGGTTAGTCAGACTTGAATTTGAAGGTCAGAAGTACAGTGCTTGCACTCTGAAGGAGATGGGGATCTTACGGTCCATTGGGTTAACTGAATTGTGGTGTCAGCACATTTTCTGGCTAGATAGCTACCGAATGAGTGATGATGAATATTTCCTTATTTAAATCACCCTACCTTGATGGGATATAGCGAATGTGGTAATTTTTTAATGTAATGTACAGTATATAAGTAATATATTTACTGTATAACTAACATAAACATCATAGTGTCTATCACCGAGACTACAGTATCCATTTGTGACTTGATAAATGTGTACGTACAGAAATAAAGAAAATGAAATGAGAAGAGGTTGGAGAAACTTTTCTGGAAGGTAATACTGTATAGTCATGGGGAAGTGCTAAACCCAAGGGGGTCACTTAGTGCCTGGGGGAATTAACCCCTAAACAGTCCAAACGTATATATACGTCCACTCGCGTAGCGCCCCAGATTTTTTGAGAAAAAAAAATTGTTTTTTTTAATAGGAAAAAAGAGCATATGGTACCCAGGCATCCCCAATTATTTTAATGTGGCACACAGTGAGTGCGCACACCCATTCTCTCATGTCTAGGCGACTCAGGCTTATCGTGGCAATGATGAATGAATGACAAAGAAAACATATATACATGTATATGTTTGGGGTGCTACGCACGTGAACGTATACATACGTTTGGACCGTTTAGGGGTTAAAGGTAATAAAGTTTGATTTGAGGAAAGAGAGGGTAGCTCAAGTTTCTCACATTCTGAAAGAGAAGGAAGGCAGGCTTTGTGAAGAAGAAATGTATGTAATACTGTATTGAATGAAATATAAATTAAGGAAGATAAAGGCATATAAAAAGTGACTTACACTGTGTAGTAATTGTTATATCTACTAATAATATAGACTAGATAATGTAAGTATTTATAATAAGGTGTTTTTATACTTTGACACTGTAGTGGCATGAATTACAAGACTGTACAAATACAATATTTTAAGAATTTGTATCCAGTAGTATTGAGAATGAGTAATACGTAATTATATTTGAAACTGTCTCAGATATTTTTTAGTACACAAGAAGACAACAAAGATATTAATTAATGTTATAATAAATAGATATAGAACTGACTGTTCTCATAGCAGTTTTACTAAACAATAGAAATACAGCAATTTATATATTGTTAATATAGAACTGTTTGATAAGTCTTAACATTACTATAATACTTATATGCAAGCCATGAATAATGAGTGCCCGTACATTTATGTATCTTTTGAGGCACAAATTGTATTGCAAAGATTCAATATTTTATGATTTTTCTAAGGGGATATCTTGATGTTGATGAAGGGCTCTTGATCCCAGGCACTATGACTCCTATGAGGTTAGCACTTCCCCATAAATATAGTAATAATAATATTCTAAGGGGGTAAAGGAGGTTTTGTGTGCGAGGGGCTTGGACTTCCAGCAGGCATGCTTGAGCGTGTTTGATAGGAGTGAATGGAGACAAATGGTTTTTAATACTTGACGTGCTGTTGGAGTGTGAGCAAAGTAACATTTATGAAGGGATTCAGGGAAACCGGCAGGCCGGACTTGAGTCCTGGAGATGGGAAGTACAGTGCCTGCACTCTGAAGGAGGGGTGTTAATGTTGCAGTTTAAAAACTGTAGTGTAAAGCACCCTTCTGGCAAGACAGTGATGGAGTGAATGATGGTGAAAGTTTTTCTTTTTCGGGCCACCCTGCCTTGGTGGGAATCGGCCGGTGTGATAATAAAAAAAAAAAAAAAATATTCTAAGGTAGTTATATGTAAATGTGTGTGAGGAACACCAGCTGTACATTTTGCACCTTCAGCTCAGACAGTAATGATTTAAATTGTACATGTAAGCACTGTACATATTGACACATTATTCCTTCATTTATGAAGAGTGTATTTTTCATGAAAGTAAAAATGAACAAGTTTGTTTCTGCTTGGTCAGTCTTCAACATCCAAAAGTAGGTCAAATTTATCAACAAAAGTTGAAAGATTTTGCAGAGGTTGTGAGCCAAACATTGTGGCGTCTATGTTGGAATGTCTGCAGTTAGCACCAACAACCTGGCTGATATTGCCATCAACTAAAAAGCCCAGTCTGGGATTGGGATGGCTGTGGGGGCAGTGAACCCTGGAACTGTCTTCACATAACCTTCAGGTCAGTTTGTTTTATCCTCTGAGAGTTATGAAATACTTTATACTGTACATATTTAAAAAGTTAATTGTTCATGAAACTATAGAAATAACCAACTGATATGAAATCCAACAAGTTTACCCCATGTGAGGATTAAGTCCATAATGTGGATCACAAATGAAGACCAGAGGAGGTACAACTATGGCGGTGATGGGTTTCAAACTCATGCTCAGTGAGAATAAGGGAGTACTGTACCATATTTAGAATGAATTAAGAAGAAAATTATATTGCACTACTATGCTAGTGAATAATTTGAATATGGAAAATGAACAACATAAATGCTTATAAAGTTTAATTTTTCATATTTATAAATTGTATACTTTATATACATGTACTTTACTATGTATACATAAATTTTTCATGTTTTAAATTGGTTGCTAAATACGTGTAAAAAGGAGTAACATATCAAAACTATCATTTATTGTAAAGTGGCAAGACTAACAGTATATGATACTATACATATGTTATATAATTTATCAAATAAAAATTTGGAGATACCAAGTACGTACGTATATTATTTGTACCTGTGAATATTGAAATATCTTCATTCCCAAAGCATGGGATTATCTACATAGGTAACAGTTTTATTATTAGTGTGTTATTAATTAAACCATATAGATATTACAATGCTGGGTTAGCAGCTTACAGAATAAAAAATGCACAGCATTTTGGACAGACCTTAATTGTGACTAACCTATTAAAGCATTTGAGAAGTCCCTTGTGTTGTATTCATAATTTCAGACAAGACACTCCAAGTAACTTAAATTTATTAAGTAATATACATATGATGATTACTTGATACTGTATTCCCAAAATGGTGATAATAAATATTACTTGCTGTTAGACGTACAATAATCAAACTGTTATTAATGATGTAAAATTAATACTTAAAAAGATAGTAAAAACTAAACTAGAATCTATTAAACAAAAGTACATGATAATTTGATGCATTCAGCATGGCATGAAAAAAAGTGGATCTAGTACCAGGAGGGATAACAAAAGTTTTGGTATAGATCACAAAAATCAATGTCCTTATGTTTAACTCAAGACTAAGAGTAACAATTAAATGTTTAATAGTCATTTAACTAATTAACTCAGAGAAATGACCCTCTTGGTGCCCCTGGTGAGTCTAGGTTAAAAATCATGGGTGAGGACCAGGATCCTTGGAATAATAGTAATGAAACGTAAGTCTGAGAATAGCAAGTAAAACTTTTACTGTTAGCTACCATTGAATGGGGAGGTGCCTTGATGCAGTGAAGGACTCTTGATCCAAGGAATTAGAAATGCCCTTTTCCGTAGATCAAACCTGATTACAGTACCAGCCATTACTCAGGCACTTTATTACCTCTATGATATATTTATGGTAGTGAGTACAATAAATGTTTTCATGATATACAGTATTTATAATCAGCAAACAGTAATACATATGTAGAAGATACAGCTATTTCATGCTAGATGTATCCAGCTTTGTGGAGGGATGTGGGAGCATGGATGTAGGGTTGAAGAGCCAGAGAGTGAGGGAGAGAACATAGAGACTGGTGAGGAGCTGAAGTATGATGGGAGTAACTAGGGGTGGCAGGAACAGGCATATTAACAGACTGGCAGAGCACCTCATCACCTCTACGAGACGGGTGTATGGAGGATCGTCGTACACCACCCCAATGCAGCCCAAGGTTACCACCACCACCATACTGTACACAAACACCTCCACTGGTGTCCCACTCTGCACCGCCCAGGAGAAAGTGGATTAGCATTAGTCTCATTTTATATGAAATTCTACTAAACTCTGTACTGGCTGCTCATTAACATCAATCTTTTTTCCATGTTTGATATACTGTAGATGAGTTTCTCTTCCTTCTCCATTCAGTCAGTGGTTTTTGTATCTCAGCATCAAGTCAATCAATGACATATCTATATCTGCATTTGAGAGAAGGATCAAAGACACTATGAACTGTGAGAAAGAATCTACATTATACGAAGCTGCTGGAAATAAGGCATATTCCAGACAGTTGGAATAGAGTAAATGCCATTGAAATAATCAAGAAAGGAGCGACAAGCAGTATTAAACCACAGGCCAGTATCTTTGACATTTATATTATTTTTGAGAAAATAATGAATGTGGTAGAGCACTAGGAGAGGAATGGAACTATAAAAACTGCCAGTAAGGGTTTACAGTAGGTAAATTGTGTTTCTATGCTGGAGCAACAGAGACTAGGCAGGAAAGAGACGGATGAGTGAACTTCATTCAGTTGACACTGTTTCCTGCAAGAGACTAAGGTATAAACTGGGAGAGCAGACAGAAATAACAGAAAATGTACTTCCTGAATTAAGAAATAAAAAGTGAAAAGAGGCAAAATTCTGAAAAGGCAAGAGGTATACTAGAACAGGTACAAAAGGATCTGGACAACCTGCAGGAAGGGTAGCCTTGTTTGCAAGATTTAGTACATTGTTGTTCACGATCAGTTTGGAGTCAATTTTCACCCCAAGGATGTCAACCTTATCCCTGGATTCCAACAGATTCCAATACTTATGCACGCACATGCACACACACAGCTATCACTTGACCCCTGCAACCACAATTATGTGAGTACACACACACACACACACACACATCCCTTGAAACTGGGCAACTACCTGAGGTATGGAAGACGGCAAATGTAGTTCCCATTTTTAAAAAAGGAGACAGAAAAGAGGTGCTAAACTACAGACCAGTGTCACTGATGTGTATAGTATGCAAAGTCATGGAGAAGATTATCAGGAGGAGAGTGGTGGAGCACTTAGAACGGAACAAAAGTATAAATGACAACCAGCATGGTTTCATGGAAGGCAAATCCTGTGTCACAAACCTAATGGAGTTTTATGGTAAAGTAACAGAAGTAAGAGATGAGAGAGAGGGGTGGGTTGATTGCATCTTCTTGGACTGCAAGAAGGCCTTCGACATAGTTCCTCACAAAAGATTAGTGCAGAAACTAGAGGATCAGGCACGTATAATGGGAAGGGCACTTCAATGGATCAGAGAATACCTGACAGGGAGGCAACAGCGAGTCATGGTACGTGATGAGGTATCACAATGGGCACCTGTGATGAGCGGGGTCCCACAGGGGTCGGCCCTAGGACCAGTGCTATTATTGGTATATGTGAACGACATGATGGAAGGGTTAGACTCAGAGGTGTCCCTGTTCACAGATGATGTGAAGTTAATGAGGAAAATTAAATCAGATGAGAATCAGGCAGGCCTTCAAAGAGACCTGGACAGGCTGGACACGTGGTCCAGCAACTGGCTTCTCGAATTCAACCCTGCCAAATGCAAAGTCATGAAGATCGGAGAAGAAAAAAGAAGACCACAAACAGAGTATAGGCTAGGTCGCCAACAACTGCAAACCTCGCTCAAGGAGAAAGATCTTGGCGTGAGTGTAACATCGAACACGTCTCCGGAAACACACATCAACCAGATAACTGCTGCAGCATATGGGCGCCTGGCAAACCTGAGATTAGCATTCCGATACCTAAGTAAGGAATCTTTCAAGACACTGTACACCGTGTACGTCAGGCCCATACTGGAGTATGCAGCACCAGCTTGGAGCCCGCACCGGGTCAAGCACGTTAAGAAATTAGAGAAAGTGCACAGGTTTGCGACAAGGTTAGTTCCAGAGCTAAGGGCAATGTCCTATGAAGAAAGGTTGAGGGAAATCAGCCTGACGACACTGGAGGACAGGAGGGATAGGGGAGACATGATAACGACATACAAAATACTGTGTGGAATAGATAAAGTGGACAGAGACAAGATGTTCCAGAGAGGGGACACAGAAACAAGGGGTCACTCTTGGAAGTTGAAGATTCAGATGAGTCACAGGGATGTTAGGAAGCAGTTCTTCAGTCATAGAGTGGTCAGGAAGTGGAACAGTCTGGCGAGCTATGTAGTGGAGGCAGGAACCATACACAGTTTTAAGACGAGGTATGATAAAGCTCATGGAGCAGGGAGAGAGAGGACCTAGTAGTGTTCAGTGAAGAGGCGGGGCCAGGAGCTGAGTCTCGATCCCTGCAACTACAATTAGGTGAGTACAATTAGGTGAGTACACACACACACACACAGGTACCTTACTCAAGGAGAAAGATCTAGGGGTGAGTATAATACCGAGCACGTCTCCGGAAGCACACATCAACCAGATAACTGCTACAGCATATGGGCGCCTGGCAAACATGAGAACAGCATTCCGATACCTCAGTAAGAAATCGTTCAAGATTCTGTACAATGTGTACGTGAGCCCCATACTGGAGTATGCAGCACCAGTTTGGAACCCACACCTAGTCAAGCACATCAAGAAATTAGAGAAAGTGCATAGGTTTGCAACAAGGTTAGTTCCAGAGCTAAGGGGAATATCCTACGAAGAAAGGTTAAGGGAAATCGGTCTGACGACACTGGAGGACAGGAGGGTCAGGGGAGACATGGTAACGATATACAAAATACTGCGTGGAATAGATAAGGTGGTTAGAGACAGGATGTTCCAGAGATGGGACACAGAAACAAGGGGTCACAATTGGAAGTTGAAGACTCAGATGAATCAAAGGGATGTTAGGAAGTATTTCTTCACCCACAGAGTTGTTAGGAAGTAGAATAGTCTGGCAAGTGATGTAGTGGAGGAAGGAACCATACACAGTTTTAAGACGAGGTATGATAGAGCTCATGGAGCAGGGAGAGGGAGGACCCAGTAGTGGTCAGTGAAGAGGCGGGGCCAGGAGCTGTGTATCGACCCCTGCAACCACAATTAGGTGAGTACAGGTGTCAATGAATCGACCCCTGCAAGCACAATTAGGTGAGTACACACACACACACACACTTGCACTGTTTATCGACCCCTGCAACCATAACTAAGTGACTACACTCACTCTGTATTGACTTCTCAATAAAAATTATATACTAACAACAGAGAGTTAGATTTTACAATGAAAATCTCAAGAAATAATTAATATAATTAAAATTATTAATAAGTGATAACAGTGGGTAGGGGATGTGTCGATCAAGTGTTTACATTGAAGCATATATGTGAACAGTATTTAGATCAAGGTAGGGAAGTTTTTATTGCATTTATGGATTTAGAAAAGGCATATGATAGAGTGGATAAAGGAGCAATGTGGCAGATGTTGCAAGTATATGGAATAGGTAGTAAGTTATTAAATGCTGTAAAGAGCTTTTATGAGGATAGTGAGGCTCAGGTTAGGGTGTGTAGAAGAGAGGGAGAATACTTCCCGGTAAAAGTAGGTCTTAGACAGGGATGTGTAATGTCACCATGGTTGTTTAATATATTTATAGATGGGGTTGTAAAGGAAGTAAATGCTAGGGTGTTCGGGAGAGGGGTGGGATTAAATTATGGGGAATCAAATTCAAAATGGGAATTGACACAGTTACTTTTTGCTGATGATACTGTGCTTATGGGAGATTCTAAAGAAAAATTGCAAAGGTTAGTGGATGAGTTTGGGAATGTGTGTAAAGGTAGAAAGTTGAAAGTGAACATAGAAAAGAGTAAGGTGGTGAGGGTGTCAAATGATTTAGATATAGAAAAAATGGATATTACATTGGAGAGATGGAGTATGGAAGAAGTGAATGTTTTCAGATATTTGGGAGTTGACTTATCAGCGGATAGGTTAATGAAGGATGAGGTTAACCATAGAAATGATGAAGGAGAAAAGGTGAGTGGTGCATTGAGGTGTCTGTGGAGACAGAAAACGTTACACATGGAGGTAAAGAAGGGAATTTATGAAAGTATAGTAGTACCAACACTCTTATATGGGTGTGAAGCTTGGGTTGTGAATGCTGCAGCGAGGAGGCGGTTGGAGGCAGTGGAGATGTCTTGTTTAAGGGCAATGTGTGGTGTAAATATTATGTAGAGAATTCGGAGTGTGGAAATTAAGAGATGTGGAGTTACTAAAAGTATTAGTCAGAGGGCTGAAGAGGGGTTGTTGAGGTGGTTTGGTCAGTTAGAGAGAATGGATCAAAGTAGAATGACATGGAGAGCGTATATATCTGTAGGGGAAGGAAGGCGGGGTAGAGGTCGTCCTAGAAAAGGTTGGAGGGAGGGGGTAAAGGGGATTTTGTGGGCGAGGGGCTTAGACTTCCAGCAAGCTTGCGTGAGCGTGTTCGATAGGAGTGAATGGGGACGATTGGTTTTTGGAGCCTAATGAGCTGTTGGAGTGTGAGCAGGGTAATATTTAGTGAAGGAATTCAGGGAAACCGGTTATTTTAATATAGCCGGACTTGAGTACTGGAAATAGTAAGTACAATGCCTGCACTTTAAAGGGGTTTGGGATATTGGCATTTTGGAGGGGAGTGTTATATATCTTTATATATGTTTCTGAACTGTTGTATCTGGGCGCCTCTCCAAATACAGTAATTATGTGTGAGTGAGGTGAAATTGTTGAATGACGATGAAAGTATTTTCTTTTTGGGGATTTTCTTTCTTTTTGGGTCACCCTGCCTTGGTAGGAGACGGCCGACTTGTTGAAAAAAAAAAGAAATGTGACTTTCATCACTCTCAATACTTTTCCACAACAGATAATGGTCAGGGAGACAGAGAGACAGGTAAGGAAGGGTGTGTTAGGTTAGGTAGAGAGACAGGTAAGGGTGTGTTAGGTGAGGTAGAGAGACAGGTAAGGGTGTGTTAGGCCGAGGTGAAGAGGTAGGTAAGGGTATATACGTACCAAAGGAGCTATCAGTAGATTGGTGAGGGTGAGGATAGCCAAGAAGTGCATGAGGACATAGCAGTGAGTGAATGAGCTAGCCTTCACCTTACGATACACACGACACCCGCGGATCTGAAACATACAAGTGGAAATGGAATAGTCTGGAAAGTGATGCAGTGGAGGCAGGATCCATACATATCTTTAAGAAGAGGTATGATAAAGCTCATGGAGGAGGGAGAGAATGAACCTAGTGGCGACCAGTGAAGAGGCAGGGCTAGAAGCTGTGGGTAATTATAGCAGGTGATTATAGAGGCAGGGCCAGATGCTGTGGGTGATTATAGCAATCCGCTTTGATTACCTTTGTAAAAAAATGTTAGACAAATTGATGAATGGGAATGGTTGGGTGTGAGTAGGACCTGCCTACCATAGGTTAGCCAGGAACCAGGACAAGTGTTTCCTGACATGGGTCTTAGTCATATGACGGCCCCATAAAGGACCCCAATGGAAATAAGTCACTCTGACTTTTTTGGGTTATCCTATATTCTCTGCACATATGCTGCTATGTATGATAATTCTATGTAACTGTATTTGTGTATACCTGAATAAACTTACTTACTTATGATCCTATGACTGAGGCCTATCATTAGTTTACCAGTTCTTTCCTAAACAAAAAAAAAAGATAAACACACCATGTGTTTCTCTACGAGTGCCAAAGACCTGTAAAATACTTCGAAATTTCTTTAAAAGCCATTTTATTTTATGTATCCTTCGCATGGGAGGTTTGTAAGATAAGATAAGATAAGATTTCGTTCAGATTTTTAACCCCGGAGGGTTAGCCACCCAGGATAACCCAAGAAAGTCAGTGCGTCATCGAGGACTGTCTAACTTATTTCCATTGGGGTCCTTAATCTTGTCCCCCAGGATGCGACCCACACCAGTCGACTAACACCCAGGTACCTATTTGCTGCTAGGTGAACAGGACAACAGGTGTAAGGAAACGTGTCGGAATTTCCACCCGCCGGGAATCGAACCCGGGCCCTCCGTGTGTGAAGCGGGAGCTTTAGCCACCAGACCACCGGGCCACCTAAATGAGGATTAACACTGACTAGTGGTATTAGTACATTTACTAAGGAGACTCATCCCCCACCGGGAAGGTGATTAACCCAGTGATTGATAAAGCCCCTGGTGGACGAAACATCCCATTATGAAGGTTTCCCCTGGATATAAGTGTCTGAAAAACTGGTGTCCACTCACGTCAGGTTTGTCTTTGTCCCAGCCAGTCCAGGGTGAACCGGGCATCCAGCTGGGTCCTTTGACCAGAGTACTCAGCCGCTCCCTCCATGTGCTCATCCCTCGAGCCTTCTCCAGGGCCATCTTGAGGTAGAATACCTGTGAGTGCACAACACACACTGCTCTCATACCGCTTCTTGAATACAATTATGATTATTATTACTGCCGGAACTCGTTATTTCTAGGGTCATAACAGTGCTAAAAGACCACACTTGGTCATATGTGATCCATAATATAAGTAGAGTGAACATTTTATTTAAAAACGACGTTTTGCTTGGAGATTAAACATTTTTCAGTCCACGGATAAAAAAAAGCTTAGTTATCTTAAATCAAATTTCCATGCAGCTTATTGTATCTTCATTCCAGTGATTCAATTTAAATTTGTACATTGGTACTGAAGAAACACAAAATGTTCTAGGAATGTATTAAAATGAAGTAATCGTGTATTTTCTTAGATAACTATAGGCCTACTGACCTACACTAGGCAGCTCCCTCTCAATCCCAACCCTTCTGCTGTATACTGTGTTTCTTCAACCTAGCTTAAAGCTACCCAGGGTGTTACCTTCACTGATTCTACTTACCACACTCATCGCTGTGTGACCCTTCCAGGTTAAGCGCTTAATAATAATAATAATAATAATAATAATAATAATAATAATAATAATAATAATAATAATAATAATAATAATAATAATAATAATAATAATGAGCCGTACATCTACGATCACTTGTGTAATTATTAATGGCTTGCTGCATAAGACACAGGTGCAACACTTAGGTGACAGAAATATTTTGCCTGCACAGCAGTCTGCTTCAAATACACAGATGATTTTATTACTAGAGACCCTTCAAGGAAGGTTCCTTGATGCTGGTGAGGCGCTCTTGATCTAGGGAATTGGATCTGTGCTCCGGTTCCCTGACTTGAGTCTGAATACCTTACATCCCCCCCCCTCACAGGCGCTGTATAATCCTTACGGGTTTAGAGCTCTCCTGTGATTATAATAATAATAATAGTGACAGTGGAAGAAACGGAGAAAGAATCCTGAAGTGTTCAGTCCCTCAACCTTGACACGTGTTTAGTGCCAGAAAGGAAAAAAAACTGGCAGGAAATGGCAGAAATCGTACACCAAATCCAGTCATTCCTGGAGTGGAACCACAGTCGATGGCCTCCACTCCAAACCAACAGATACAGATACTAATGCCGGAAAAAAATCCCCCCCCCCCAGTACCAACAATACCACCAGTCCGATGACATTCTTCTTTGCAAATATACAGGGTCTAAGGCCAGCAACAAACAACAAAATACCTTTCATCCGTGGACTGCTTGCAGAGGCAAAGGCAATGTTCGCGGCTTTCACAGAGACCCACATAAAGGATCACTTGGACAACGAAATATGGATCCCAGGTTACAACCTATACAGATGTGACAGAGTGAACAGGCAAAAGGAGGGGGGTTGGCCTGTACATTGCAGAGTCACTTGTTTGCACAGAACTGCTAAATGCCTCAAATGATGTAGTGGAAGTTTTAGCAGTAAAGGTCGAGAACCATTGTGGTAGTCTGCAAGCCTCCGGATGCAACATCCCAGCAATTCCAGGAACAGCTGTTAAAAATTGACCACTGTCTGGAAAATCTTCCAGCTCCTGCACCCAACATCTTGCTCCTGGGGGATTTCAACTTAAGCCACCTAAAATGGAGGAATATAGCAAATAATATTGTTGCAGTAATAACACCAGGAGGCAGCTCTGATGAAAACTCACACTCACACGAGCTTTTAAATCTCTGCACAAAATTCAATTTAAACCAGCAAATAATAGAGCCTACTAGACTGGAGAATACACTAGACCTCATCTTCACTAACAATGATGATCTGATAAGAAATGTCACCATATCAAAAACAATATATTCAGATCACAACATAATTGAGGTTCAGACATGTATGCGCGGAGCCCCAGACCGACAAAATGAGATTAGTCACGAGGGAGCATTCACCAAATTCAACTTCAATAACAAAAACATAAACCATACCCCCGGCCGGGATTGAACCCGCAGTCAGAGAGTCTCAAAACTCCAGCCCGTCGCGTTAGCTAACGCGACGGGCTGGAGTTTTGAGACTCTCTGACCGCGGGTTCAATCCCAGCCGGGGTATGGTTTGTTTGCAATCGTGTCATTACGATTTCGTGAGTCAAAAACATAAAGTAGGACCAAGTAAGCCAAGTCCTAACCGATATAAGCTGGGAAGATATACTAAGCAACACAGACCCCAACTTATGCCTAGAACAGATTAACTTGGTGGCACTCGATGTATGCACAAGGCTTATTCCTCTAAGAAAAAGGAGGAGTAGATGTCAAATAGAAAGAGACAGGCGCTCCCTTTACAGGCGACGGAAAAGAATAACAGAGCGGCTAAAAGAGGTCAATATATCTGAAATGCGTAGGGAGACACTGGTCAGAGAAATAGCAAGCATCGAACTTAAGCTAAAGGAATCTTATAGGAGTCAGGAATCGCGGGAAGAACTAAAAGCCATAAATGAAATCGAAAGAAACCCAAAGTATTTCTTCTCCTATGCCAAATCAAAGTCGAGAACAACGTCCAGTATTGGGCCCCTACTTAAACAAGATGGGTCCTACACAGATGACAGCAAGGAAATGAGTGAGCTACTCAAGTCCCAATATGACTCAGTTTTTATCAAGCCGCTAACCAGACTGAGAGTCGAAGATCAAAATGAATTTTTAATGAGCCACAGAATTTGGTTAACACAAGCCTATCCGATGTTATCCTGACGCCAAATGACTTCGAACAGGCGATAAATGACATGCCCATGCACTCTGCCCCAGGGCCAGACTCATGGAACTCCGTGTTCATCAAGAACTGCAAGAAGCCCCTATCACGAGCTTTTTCCATCCTATGGAGAGGGAGCATGGACACGGGGGTCATCCCACAGTTACTAAAAACAACAGCCTCACTCCACAAAGGGGGCAGTAAAGCAACAGCAAAGAACTACAGACCGATAGCGCTAACATCCCATATCATAAAAATCTTTGAAAGGGTCCTAAGAAGCAAGATCACCACCCATCTAGAAACCCATCAGTTACACAACCCAGGGCACCATGGGTTTAGAACAGGTCGCTCCTGTCTGTCTCAACTACTGGATCACTACGACAAGGTCCTAAATGCACTAGAAGACAAAAAGAATGCAGATGTAATATATACAGACTTTGCAAAAGCCTTCGACATGTGTGACCATGGCGTAATAGCGCACAAAATGCGTGCTAAAGGAATAACAGGAAAAGTCGGTCGATGGATCTATAATTTCCTCACTAACAGAACACAGAGAGTAGTCGTCAACAGAGTAAAGTCCGAGGCAGCTACGGTGAAAATCTCTGTTCCACAAGGCACAGTACTCGCTCCCATCTTGTTCCTCATCCTCATATCCGACATAGACAAGGATGTCAGCCACAGCACCGTGTCTTCCTTTGCAGATGACACCCGAATCTGCATGACAGTGTCTTCCATTGCAGACACTGCAAGGCTCCAGGCGGACATCAACCAAATCTTTCAGTGGGCTGCAGAAAACAATATGAAGTTCAACGATGAGAAATTTAAATTACTCAGATATGGTAAACACGAGGAAATTAAATCTTCAACAGAGTACAAAACAAATTCTGGCCACAAAATAGAGCGAAACACCAACGTCAAAGACCTGGGAGTGATCATGTCGGAGGATCTCACCTTCAAGGACCATAACATTGTATCAATCGCATCTGCTAGAAAAATGACAGGATGGATAATGAGAACCTTCAAAACTAGGGAGGCCAAGCCCATGATGACACTCTTCAGGTCACTTGTTCTATCTAGGCTGGAATATTGCTGCACACTAACAGCACCTTTCAAGGCAGGTGAAATTGCTGACCTAGAAAATGTACAGAGAACCTTCATGGCGCGCATAACGGAGATAAAACACCTCAATTACTGGGAGCGCTTGAGGTTCCTAAACCTGTATTCCCTGGAAGGCAGGCGGGAGAGATACATGATTATATACACCTGGAAAATCCTAGAGGGACTAGTACCGAACTTGCACACGAAAATTACTCACCACGAAAGCAAAAGACTTGGCAGACGATGCAACATCCCCCCAATGAAAAGCAGGGGTGTCACTAGCACGTTAAGAGACCATACAATAAGTGTCAGGGGCCCGAGACTGTTCAACTGCCTCCCAGCATACATAAGGGGGATTACCAACAGACCCCTGGCAGTCTTCTAGCTGGCACTGGACAAGCACCTAAAGTCGGTTCCTGACCAGCCGGGCTGTGGCTCGTACGTTGGTTTGCGTGCAGCCAGCAGTAACAGCCTGGTTGATCAGGCTCTGATCCATCAGGAGGCCTGGTCACAGACCGGGCCGCGGGGGCGTTGACCCGGAACTCTCTCCAGGTAAACTCCAGGTGTTCAGTCCCTCAACCTTGATAGGTGTTGAGTCTCTCAACCTTGATAGGTGTTGAGTCCCTTAACCTTGATAGGTGTTCAGTCCCTCAACCTTGATAAGTGTTCAGTCCCTCAACCTTGATAGGTGTTCAGTCCCTCAACCTTGATAGGTGTTCAGCCCCTCAACCTTGATGGGTGTTCAGTCCCTCAACCTTGATAGGTGTTCAGTCCCTCAACCTTGATAAGTGTTTAGTCCCTCAACCTTGATAGGTGTTCAGTCCCTCAACCTTGATAAGTGTTCAGTCCCTCAACCTTGATAGGTGTTCAGTCCCTCAACCTTGATAGGTGTTCAGTCCCTCAACCTTGATAAGTGTTCAGTCCCTCAACCTTGATAGGTGCTCAGTCCCTCAGTCTTGATAGGTGTTGAGTCCCTCAGTCTTGATAGGTGTTCAGTCCCTCAACCTTGATAGGTGTTCAGTCCCTCAGTCTTGATAGGTGTTCAGTCCCTCAACCTTGATAGGTGCTCAGTCCCTCAGTCTTGATAGGTGTTGAGTCCCTCAGTCTTGATAGGTGCTCAGTCCCTCAACCTTGATAGGTGCTCAGTCCCTCAGTCTTGATAGGTGTTCAGCCCCTCAACCTTGATAGGTGTTCAGTCCCTCAACCTTGATAGGTGTTCAGTCCCTCAGTCTTGACAGGTTTTCAGTCTTGGTATAAGGTATTCAGTTCCTTAGCATTAACAGAAGGTAATAAAGTTGGTAGAATTACCGACAATATGTAAAGTAAAAGGACACAAGTGCAACTAATGTGACATTTTATTGTGGCAACGTTTCGCTCTTCAAGAGCTTTGTCAAGCCATTACAAACAATACATGGACACAGAGGGTATATATAGGCTCAAAGTGAGGTGCAATACTAGTGGTGGTAGTAGTACTAGTAGTAGTAGTAGTAGTGACAAAAGTTGTAGTAGTAGTCGCCATCGCTTCTAGCACTTCAATAAAGGATCTAACCAGAACAAAATCCAAGCACCACGAACCAGTCAATGCAGGAGTTTACACTATACCCTGTGGAGGCTGTGACAAGATTTACGTAGGTGAAACAGCAAGAAACCTCGACACCCGCCTCAATGAACAAATTTACGCATGTAGGAACGATAACTTGAACAACGCCTGTGTACAACACCGTAATTCCACCAATCATTTCATGAAATTCAGGGACGCCAAATTAGTGATCAAAGAAACTAATTTCCGCAGACGCAAGTGCCTCGAATCAGCACTGATCGCTGTTTCGAATACAATTAAACAAAACAACGGCAGCTTCACCATCTCCGAAGTCTTAGCAAGAATCCTCCTGAAAACAGTAAACCCTGCCATCACATAGTCTCTCCTGTTATACTACACAAAGAACATTACAGAGAGTGAACACTGAAACAAGCTGCCTCTTTCCAGTCTATATTTGTCCAACCTATTTTTATGTTACCCAAGTAATAGCTTTTATATCCTTTTACTCATGTACGAATTAATTGCTCTACCATATTGTATTACTATTACTACTACAACTTTTGTCACTACTACTACTACTACTACTACTACTACTACCACTAGTATTGCACCTCTGAGCCTTTATATACCCTCTGTGTCCATGTATTGTTTGTAATGGCTTGACAAAGCTCCTGGAGAGCGAAACGTTGCCACAATAAAATGTCACATTAGTTGCACTTGTCTCCTTTTACTTTATATTAACAGAAGGTGTTCAACCTCTTAGCCTTGAGAGAAGGTCTGACTTTTTTTGGGTTATCCCAGATAATCTACACATCCTGCAATGTATGATAATTTATGTAACTGTATTTATGATACCTGTACCTAAATAAACTTACTAAGGTGACCACCTTCATTGATCTAAACACCTCAAAATTACTTATTCACTGCTTCCAGTACTAAAATTACCTCTGTATTCGCATAAAGAAGTCTGCTGTGAAGGCGAAACGTTTCGGGAATAAACATATTAAAGTACCGCACATATCTTAGCCATCAACTTGTCAGTAGTGTATTACATAATGTTATTGATAGCTTGGTGATACAGACAGGGCGAGCACTGACCTGGTGGTAGAGGGAGACAGGGCCAGCACTGACCTGGTGGTAGAGGGAGACAGGGCCAGCACTGACCTGGTGGTAGAGGGAGACAGGGCCAGCACTGACCTGGTGGTAGAGGGAGACAGGACCAGCACTGACCTGGTGGTAGAGGGAGACAGGGCCAGCACTGACCTGGTGGTAGAGGGAGACAGGGCCAGCACTGACCTGGTGGTAGAGGGAGACAGGGCGAGCACTGACCTGGTGGTAGAGGGAGATAGGTCAAGCACTGACCTGGTGGTAGAAGGAGACAGGGCGAGCACTGACCTGGTGGTAGAGGGAGACAGGGTAAGCACTGACCTGGTGGTAGAGGGACACAGGGTAAGCACTGACCTGGTGGTAGAGGGAGACAGGGTAAGCACTGACCTGGTGGTAGAGGGAGACAGGGCGAGCACTGACCTAGTGGTAGAGGGAGACAGGGTAAGCACTGACCAGGTGGTAGAGGGAGACAGGGCGAGCACTGACCTAGTGGTAGAGGGAGACAGGGCGAGCACTGACCTAGTGGTAGAGGAAGACAGGGCAACCACTGACCTGGTGGTAGAGGAAGACAGGGCAACCACTGACCTGGTGGTAGAGGAAGACAGGGCAACCACTGACCTGGTGGCAGAGGAAGACAGGGCAACCACTGACCTGGTGGTAGAGGAAGACAGGGTAACCACTGACCTGGTGGTAGAGGAAGACAGGGCAACCACTGACCTGGTGGTAGAGGAAGACAGGGCAACCACTGACCTGGTGGTAGAGGAAGACAGGGCAACCACTGACCTGGTGGTAGAGGGGGTTGTAGCTGTCAGGTTGGGTAAGGATACCGTAAATGATCTCCTCGTCAGGTAACTCCTGCTGGAAGGTGCCGAAGAGTCGGTCCCACAGGATAAACACGCCGCCATAGTTCTTGTCCAGACAGTACAAGTTGCTTCCTGAAGTGAACGCTCAAGTTAATCTCTTATTTCTGCCACACCTCAAAAACCACAGATTGTGATGACTATATTGTATTATGGTAACTATATAATTAACAACGTTTTGATTGCTCTACAAGCCATTGCTTTTATTGAAAAAATTCCACACAGCTAAGTTTTTTTTATAATTAGGCTGTGTATCGTTCACCATGAGGTTTTTTTTTTTTTTTTTTTTTTTTTTTTTTTTTTTTTTTTTGCGTCATTGATTAGACTGAAAATGTTTCTGGTGAACAAAATGTATAGAAATAAAACTTCCATATAGGTATTATCTATCTTCTGCGTTACACGTTTTATACAACCTGTTTGATACAAGTATCATACAACTTATATGATACAACGTGTGGTTTACAACGTTTTCAAGCCATTTATAATGTTTTCCTTACTGTATTAAAATATTTATTACTTACATTTGTCTCTTACTCCCCCCCAACACTTCATTATTGTCAAATTTGTTAATGATATAGTTAAGTTGCCAGAAAAAATCCTGCACAGAAATCCTTCCGTTGTAATTAACTAGTTTGTGTGTGTGTGTGTGTGTGTGTGTGTGTGTGTGTGTGTGTGTGTGTGTGTGTGTGTGTGTACTGTCTTATATGTGGTTGTTGGGGTTGAGTCCTAGCTCCTAGCCCCGCCCCTCAGTCTTACGCTAGCCTTCCTAGCCTCGTGTGTGTACTCACTTACATTTGATTGCAGGGGTCGAGTTTGGACACTTACCAGAATCAGTCTCCTAGCCTTGTGGGCTCTATCGTACCTATTCTTAAAACTATGTGTAGAGTCTGCCTCAACCACTTCAACGACATGACTCCACTTCCCGACCACCCTGAGACTGAAGAAATACTTCTTGACATCCCGGGTCGAATCCTGAACGAGGAAAAGACGTACGGAACTGTCTAATAACACCTGCAGCTCCTGCAGGTGTTAGTCCAGTCTTGTGGCTCCATAATGGGGAGAATCAGAAGAATCGCTTGTTCTCTCTAGGCTGGAATACTGTTGTAGTACACTAACGGCCCTCTTCAAGGCAGGCGAAATTACTGACCTGGAGAATGTACAAAGAACTTTCAGGGCACACATAAGTACGATAAAGCACCTAAATTACTGGGAACAGTTGAAGGCCCTTAATTTGTATTTCTTGGAACGCAGGCGAGAGAGATACATGATAATATACTTAGAAAATCCTAGAGGGATTAGTACCAAACTTGCGCACGATAATCACTCCCTATGAAAGCAAAAGACTCGGCAGGAGATGCAACATTCCCCCAGTGAAAAGCAGGGGCGCCACGAGTACACTGAGAGACAACACATTAAATGTCCGGGGCTCAAGACTGTTCAACTGCCTCCCAGCATACGTAAGGGGGATTACCAATAGACCCCTGACTGTCTTCAAAAAGGCGCCGGATAGGCACCTAAAGTCAGTATCTGACCAGATGGGCTGTGGTTCGTACGTCAGTTTGTGTGCGGCCAGCAGTAACAGCCTGTTTGATCAGACCCTGATCCACCACGAGGCCTGGTCTCAGACCTAGCCGCGGGGGCGTTGACCCCCGAAACCCTCTCCATGTAAACTCCAGGTATACACTCCTTAACTTCTTTGGCATATCCTGAGTAATTAAATAAATAAGTAATTAATTAAAAAGTTTTTATTTAGGTCTTTGGTATATAACATGAAGGAGGAACACTACAGCAGGCATACTGGCCCATACTAACTATAATATTTTTATTATGCACCCCATACCCATTCTATGGGCGGTAGTTTATAGATGACAAAGACAGCGACTTCTCAGACCCAAACCCACTAACATGACATACAAATATTTTTTACAGTGATCTTCCGAGGTAACACATTGGCCTATAAAAAATTCTATTATGCAGATTTAATTAACATCGTATAAACCAATAAATTAAGTCAAATTATGTTACTGCTCGCAACAGTACCTTCTTGAGCGCCACAGCCAACACAGCCTCGGAACTCCTTCCTAAGTATCACTGAAACGGGTTGATTTTTTTTTAGGGGGAGAATTTGCGGTTTTGTGGTAGTATGTCTGAGTCTCAAACTCGTCATATATATGATACTGGTTGCTCAGTAGACATTCAGAGGGTCGGGGGGGGGGTGATGGGGAAGGGTTGCGGCTTCTGTAATTTGAGCCTAGACTACGGACCTTGTTGCAAGACTTAATAACAACTGGCGTTCTGTCGCTGTCCTGACCCTGTGTCCTGGCAGTGTTAACATCATGATAATTGTTCACTATGTTAACATCATGTCGGAATTTAACTATTTGTAAATTTATAATAGCGGTAAAGAGTACAGGTAAAGTGTATGTACTGTGTTTCAGAGTACAGGTACTGTCTGAGTGTAGATACTGTGTTTCAGAGTACAGGTACTGTCAGAGAGTAGGTACTGTGTTTCAGAGTACAGGTACTGTCAGAGAGTAGGTACCGTGTTTCAGAGTACAGGTACTGTCAGAGTGTAGGTACTGTGTTTCAGAGTACAGGTACTGTCAGAGTGTAGGTACTGTGTTTCAGAGTACAGGTACTGTCAGAGAGTAGGTACCGTGTTTCAGAGTACAGGTACTGTCAGAGTTTAGGTACCGTGTTTCAGAGTACAGGTACTGTCAGAGTGTAGGTACTGTGTTTCAGAGTACAGGTACTGTCTGAGTGTAGATACTGTGTTTCAGAGTACAGGTACTGTCAGAGAGTAAGAACCGTGTTTCAGAGTACAGGTACTGAGAAATAGCAAGCATCGAACTTAAGCTAAAAGAATCCTTTAGGAGTCAGGAATCGCGGGAAGAACTAAAAGCTATAAATGAAATCGAAAGAAACCCAAAGTATTTCTTCTCCTATGCCAAATCAAAATCGAGAACAACGCCCAGTATTGGGCCCCTACTTAAACAAGATGGGTCCTACACAGATGACAGCAAGGAAATGAGTGAGCTACTCAAGTCCCAATATGACTCAGTTTTTAGCAAGCCGCTAACCAGACTGAGAGTCGAAGATCAAAATGAATTTTTTATGAGAGAGCCACAAAATTTGATTAACACAAGCCTATCCGATGTTATCCTGACGCCAAATGACTTCGAACAGGCGATAAATGACATGCCCATGCACTCTGCCCCAGGGCCAGACTCATGGAACTCTGTGTTCATCAAGAACTGCAAGAAGCCCCTATCACGAGCCTTTTCCATCCTATGGAGAGGGAGCATGGACACGGGGTCGTCCCTCAGTTACTAAAAACAACAGACATAGCCCCACTCCACAAAGGGGGCAGTAAAGCAACAGCAAAGAACTACAGACCAATAGCACTAACATCCCATATCATAAAAACTTTGAAAGGGTCCTAAGAAGCAAGATCACCACCCATCTAGAAACCCATCAGTTACACAACCCAGGGCAACATGGGTTTAGAACAGGTCGCTCCTGTCTGTCTCAACTACTGGATCACTACGACAAGGTCCTAAATGCACTAGAAGACAAAAAGAATGCAGATGTAATATATACAGACTTTGCAAAAGCCTTCGACAAGTGTGACCATGGCGTAATAGCGCACAAAATGCGCGCTAAAGGAATAACAGGAAAAGTCGGTCGATGGATCTATAATTTCCTCACTAACAGAACACAGAGAGTAGTCGTCAACAGAGTAAAGTCCGAGGCAGCTACGGTGAAAAGCTCTGTTCCACAAGGCACAGTACTAGCTCCCATCTTGTTCCTCATCCTCATATCCGACATAGACAAGGATGTCAGCCACAGCACCGTGTCTTCCTTTGCAGATGACACCCGAATCTGCATGACAGTGTCTTCCATTGCAGACACTGCAAGGCTCCAGGCGGACATCAACCAAATCTTTCAGTGGGCTGCAGAAAACAATATGAAGTTCAACGATGAGAAATTTAAATTACTCAGATATGGTAAACATGAGGAAATTAAATCTTCATCAGAGTACAAAACAAATTCTGGCCACAAAATAGAGCGAAACACCAACGTCAAAGACCTGGGAGTGATTATGTCGGAGGATCTCACCTTCAAGGACCATAACATTGTATCAATCGCATCTGCTAGAAAAATGACAGGATGGATAATGAGAACCTTCAAAACTAGGGAGGCCAAGCCCATGATGACACTCTTCAGGTCACTTGTTCTATCTAGGCTGGAATATTGCTGCACTCTAACAGCACCTTTCAAGGCAGGTGAAATTGCCGACCTAGAAAATGTACAGAGAACTTTCACGGCGCGCATAACGGAGATAAAACACCTCAATTACTGGGAGTGCTTGAGGTTTCTAAACCTGTATTCCCTGGAACGCAGGAGGGAGAGATACATGATTATATACACCTGGAAAATCCTAGAGGGACTAGTACCGAACTTGCACACGAAAATCACTCACTAGGAAAGCAAAAGACTTGGCAGACGATGCACCATCCCCCCAATGAAAAGCAGGGGTGTCACTAGCACGTTAAGAGACCATACAATAAGCGTCAGGGGCCCGAGACTGTTCAACTGCCTCCCAGCACACATAAGGGGGATTACCAACAGACCCCTGGCAGTCTTCAAGCTGGCACTGGACAAGCACCTAAAGTCAGTTCCTGATCAGCCGGGCTGTGGCTCGTACGTTGGTTTGCGTGCAGCCAGCAGCAACAGCCTGGTTGATCAGGCGCTGATCCAACAGGAGGCCTGGTCACAGACCGGGCCGCGGGGGCGTTGACCCCCGAAACTCTCTCCAGGTAAACTCCAGGTACTGTCTGAGTGTAGATACTGTGTTTCAGAGTACAGGTACTGTCAGAGAGTAGGTACCGTGTTTCAGAGTATAGGTACTGTCAGAGTGCAGGTACTGTGTTTCAGAGTACAGGTACTGTCAGAGTGTAGGTACTGTGTTTCAGAGTACAGGTACTGTCAGAGAGTAGGTACCGTGTTTCAGAGTACAGGTACTGTCAGAGTGTAGGTACTGTGTTTCAGAGTACAGGTACTGTCAGAGTGTA